TGTGGACATTATTTACAGTTACCCATGCTGTTAATGGAGGGCAGCTGTTTCTGTTTTTCCAGTTTCTGGTTCTGATATATATTGCCAGTTTTCGTTTATTTGTTTTAAAGATAACGCGCCTTTGAAACCAGCCAGTGTTTATTTGTGTTAATAATGTAAATGTACAGCTGGACTCCAGTCGTCCTGGTCTTTGTAGCATTAAGAGCTTCAGTAAAATGCGACTGGACAGGTTTTTTTTTTGGTGTTTGACATTTTACTCCTCTTCTACTGGAGCTGTGAGGACGGTATGCTGTTGGCGGAGCATTTGGCTGGTTGTTGCTGTCACAGTGTGGATGAAGCGCTGATGCTTGTGGACAGAAGCAGCGAGGAAACGTGACAGTTTGTTAAATTTAGACTGAAGCAGAAAAGAGCAGAACAGTGGAGGAAGCTGCTCGGTGTTCACACAGTCGCTGTGAGAGATCAGGGATGACGAAGACGACGACGATGATGATGATGATGGTGATGTCAGCGAGTGTGCCGGGCATCCCTCTCACTGCGCCGTCAGGACAGAGGCCTGTCGGTATGAGGAAGCAGCGCTCTGATTGGCTGCCACAGGATTCCTCCTTGTGACGTCGCCGAAGATGGAGACAGGCTGCCTGAGAGCCGAGCGACACAGATTCAGCCGAAACAAGATGACTGGTGGCTTCTAGACGGATGCAAAATGGGGAGTTTGGCACTTTAAGACGTTAATAACGAGTTTGATTTATGTCTAAAAGCAGCCACAGCTGAATATTTACACATTTCAGTGAGGAAACGGTGCACAAGAGCAGAAGGAGCTGCTGTAAAACATCCTTATTCTTACACCAAACAGCATCTTTTTGAAGTCGTGTTTTGCTCAGTGACACTTCAGCAGCTCAGATATTTCAGGATTTGTGTTATTTTACTGTCCTGCTGTCCTCGCTGATTATTTTCACGTCAAGAAAAATCTGTCTCGTACCGCTTTTAGCACTTTTTAATCAAATCAGAAACCTTCCAGCGGGCGGCTCGCTTAGTTTCAGACGCTAATGTCCAAAACGTCCTTCAGAGGAGACTGAAGCCCTGTGAGAAAACGGCTAATTATTCACAGTTTAAAGCCAGACAAGTCTTTATTTGATGCTTGTTTTTCATCTTTGCAGCTAAAAGGTTGTGGAGCTGAAACGATCAGAGGATTAATTGCTAACCGTCTGTATTTATAGCAGTCATTTATCAAACAATGATCTCAGGGTGCAGCTTCTCCAAAGATGACTCGAGTGATTTTTTTTCTTTTTTAAATCAGGTTTATTTTTAGCTGAACATTTGAGTTTTCCTTCTGTACCATCATCTAAGTATGTACTACAAAGCAAGTTCAACAAATCCAGGCTTTCTTTGTGTTAGCTGGCTTAACAAAACCTAAAATCCCAATCAGAAATAATAGAAGTTTTTTTTGTTAACCAGGTCTTTTTTCCATTGGTCTGATTGCCTTTTCTTTTACACGAAATGGATCAGTCACGTGCCATTTATCTCAGTCAAGAGGAACAGTTTGTTATGATGTAGAAGTGTGAAAAATATGCAGTTTTCTTGCAGCACTGTGACTAGAAAACAGTTGATCGTGTCAGTTAATATCGCTCAGTGACTCAATGCAGCAGCTTATTTTTTTACAGCTGCACATTAGAGCTCTTAAGCTTAATTCATTTAAATATTTTAAGTATTTTAGTAATGAAATCACTTCAGTTTTTGACCCAATCAAAGTGTTAATTGGCTATACGAATAGGAAACTGTAAGATATGAGACGTACAGACACGTAGCAGGAAGGAGTTCACAAGTTAAACGTCATCCGACTCGTTTTCAAACATTATTTTAAGGTTTTGGGTCTCTTTATTTTCAGTTTCTAAGATTTTTTTTCTTTTTTTTCCCCATTTACAGTATTGGGACATGTCTGAAATAAACAACACACCCATAGACGCTTATATTTTCTAACCTGTGTTCTATTAGCTGCAGCATCAGACAGACTGGGCAGCAAGTCACGACCAAACATAAAAAACATATTTACGCATTTTCTGCATCACCGATTCAGCGCCTGCAGACACACATGCGGTTGTCCTGCTGTAGCTGCGCGGCTTCATTCAGGTCAGCAGGTTTGCAGATAAAACTGCGGCTGAAAATCTGTGTCGCTCAAAGACGATCATCGGACAAGAACCTGTAATAGAGAGACGCTTCTGACAGCAGATTTAAATCCTAAAGTCAAATTAGCATCACCTTCCTCTTGACGTACCTGCTAACCCATTAATCCTGCTCTGTCGTGCAGCCCTCTGGTCAACAGATTTAATTTAGTGTTAGCGTCAAGATGCACGACTCCGATGGTGGAAAACAGCGAGCGTAGTCTTTCATTTTGAACATGTTAGCATGCTAATATTAGCATTTACCTCGAGAGACAGTCATTCAAGCAAAATAAATCATTCAAGCAAAATAAATCATTTCAACATGTGCTGCAGCAGCATGTGACAGGAGTTTGCTTGACTTTGAGTCATTTTAATAATAAATGGAGCAGCCAGCTCTTACCTGCAGTGCAAACACACCTTAAAGACGAGTGTAGAGCAGCAACGTGGTGCGTGCACACATGGAAACAGATATTTCAGTTTTTTGAAGCAGTCGTCACAGAGAACATCACCGAGGCGTGCTGCCAGCAAAGTCAGGATGCGGCAAATGTTGAATTTGTGTCACCTCAGATGATAGTTAATTAAACAAACTCCTTATTTGTTGGTTGTGCGGAGGGGCTTCCTCATTTGGGAATTTAGGAAAAGTGCTTCTTCAAAAGGGCAAAATGTTTACTTTTATGTTTATGCGTGAAGATCCTCGCCTCGGTCTGCGAAGACGCTCGAGTGGAAGCTCCTCCATTCAGCCGGTGACTTGAGGCTCATGAATAGAGCGACCTAAATAGCACATTCTTAGGCCCATGTACATCAGCAAACACGCGGTTTTTACATCAACAGTCAATTTGGATCCTGCTCAGCTGAAGGATGTTGTGATAAGCAGGTTTTGTGAAGCAGAATGTGGAACAGCAAACAGGAACAGATCTTTGCAAATGAAGAGGCTGCGCGCCAACACGACGGCGTCACGACGCCAGAACCTCAAAATCTGTTCTAAGTGAAGCGCAACGTTAGACGGCCAAAAGAATCTATCGAGATGTTCTTGGCCAAATTATAATCAGTGTTATAGTTCGTTTTTCAGACTAGTCTGCTGTTTGGGCCAAAAAATCTGTGAGTAAGAAGAATTTTATCTCTAGAATAGAAATCAAAGTGGTGAAATACTCAGAGTTTGTAGTTTAATTTTACATCAGTGCTTTTATAAACAAAAATAATCGATGTTATTCGTATAAAAAAAGAGTCTGTGTTACTTTATTTTGTTTGATATTCACCCAACTGGTTAAAAACTGAGCTGCTGATTAGATTTTTTTCCTGGTGCTCAGTGAAGCTGCACCAAAACCTTCCTCTTTGCAGAAAAACTTTTACGATAGAGCATTTTTTGATCAAACTCAGTCAGCCAATCGGGCGTTAAGTTTGTTAGTAACAAGAATTATATGTCTTGGGAGTAAAACGTGTGACAGCACTGGAATAACTAAGCTTTATGGTCTTTTCAAGGCTGTTTTAGGTTGTTGGTTTACATTTCTGAAGGCTGTGCTGATATTAAGTTAATTTTTATATGTAATGCAGTTCAAAAGCTAATGAAGTAGCGAATATTATTTCACATTTAGTTACGTACCAGGAAGGGAATTTGTATTAAACAGTTTTTCATTATTTCATTCTTTTCTTTTCTTTCTTTATAAAGACAGCACACATATTAATGAACATTTCTGCACCGCTGTGAGTCGGCCGTCCCGTTTTCATTTGCTGTCTTTTGGCGAGATGCAACGCGACGAAACATAGCAAAAAGCAACACAAATATTGTCTTTAATTACTCTCCATCGAGCAACAAGTCACTATTTGACTCTCAGGTTTTTATTTTTTACAGAATCTTGTCCAAATGGTTTATTTTTTGGGAGACTTAAAAAACAAAAAAACAGGATTTTAATGAAATATTAATATTTTAAGCGTAGATTTTGTTATTGTCCTGAATTGAATCGCTGTTCAGGGACAGTTGAAAGGTTGGAAATCTGATGATTCTTCCTGGTTTTACAGTTTCTGGCTTCGGTAAAGAGTGTAATGCTGCTGATTCTTAACAGACAACGAGCCTTTCAAACCCGCTGGAGAGATTTGGGCTTCAGTGTGGCTGCATTTTGAGTTCTACAACTCAACCACCAACATGCAGATCATTTAAAAGCAGCCGTGAACTTGTCCATGTTTTGTTACTCATTAGTTCTTGTGCTGCGAGAAAAAAAACAAGATGACTCTATAAACACATTGTTTTTGACAGCTATTTAAATCAGACATGTTGAATGCACGATTTTGATGAAAATGCCAGTTTTAGGCTGTGATTATTCGTGTCATTTTAGCATTTATTTTAAAGATAACACCACACAGAGGATTATTATACTGATCTGGATTTAATGTTTCCTCCCCGTAAGACTCAAGCCTCCCTGTAGAAGCCGGCAAACGTAGGATTTCACCTGTAATCACAAACATTGTGAATAAATGTCATCGTTCGCTCTTCTGTGCGTCCTCCATGTGACGCCGTGTTTTCCAAAATACTGTCTTCTTCTGCATCTCAAGTTTCCTGAACGCTTCGCCGGCGACACGCAGAGACTGGTCCACCTTTTTAGAAAGCGCAGCCACACTCCCGGTAGCACTGATGAATTCGTCCAAGGTCACAGTTAGTATCTGCGCTCTTTTCTTCTCCCCTCTGAAAGCAGATTCTTGTAAAGTCACAGTCAATTGAAAAGAACAAAGAACTCATTCGGCCCGCTCGCTTTAGCTCAATTAAATAAAGTCATTCAGATAACTGCACACGTGGATTGACCACGTGTTGTGTGTCTCTCTGGGAATTTTCCCTCAAAAACCTGTTCAAAGACACAGAGGGAGCAACGGATTTCAGCTCAGCTTGAACTGGGAGGATGTTGTTTGTGTCCTCTGGGGTTAAATGAAATCAATTTTTCTCCCACATTGCAGTTTAAGTTAAGATAACCCTTCATTTATCCCACAGTTACAGCAGCAAAGATGGTGCAAACATTTAGAGAAATGAAGTATAATAAAAATAAACCAAAATATACACGAGTACTACTTCTAAAAAATAAAATGATTGCACATATCAGCGGCATTGCACAGCTTTTGGATGAATAGAAATACAGATATTATTGTTGCACAGATTGTACATAAGTAGGAAGACTAAGAAAGTGGCATGAATTCTGGTTTATGCAGAAAACAGGGATTGCACAAGGTTTTTAAAGTGCAAAATATTCATGATTCACATGATAAGTTCTCGATTTATTTACCTCCACGGAGCGTCACTGTGTTTTTAGCTCATTGTTTTGATTCTCTGTCCTGCAGTTTTACTGGTTTGGTTTGTTGTCGCCACTTTAGAGCATCACTTGTCGCCTTTTTCTGCGACTGCAGCTCCAAACACAAAGCTAGCAGGTAGCTGGTGAGCACAGTGACGCATTTAGCAGCTAAACAGACAGATATTTCCCTCAAGGGTGAGTCAGTGGAGGATAAAAATAGAGCTAAAAGGAGAGTGAATGTCACACTTGCATTTATTAAGCGGCTACGTGACTCCAAACGAGCGCTAACGGTGTCCTGGATGCGCTGGACGTGTTTACATGCTAACAGTGAGGCAGTTTGGTGTTTGTTTCTGCTGCCCTCAGCTGGCCCAGAAACACAGTTATTGTACGTTAACCTTCTGAACGCCTTCTGCTTGTTTTAGTTTTGCTCCGGTCACATTTTTCTTGTAGTATAAAATCCTGCAGCTCTATAGAAACAGAACAACCATGAACAAGGAGAGAACTCAGAAAAAGCAGAAATTATAAAAACAAAAAAGGAAAAAACAATTGCAAAAACCGGAAATCAACATATACAACATGTTTCCAAGTGTCCTCATGTGTCACTAAAGTGGCTCTACATATTACAGATATTTTACTCTTCATGTTTTTAATTTGTTTGTGCACAGGCTGCAGTTCAAACAAAAGAAATGGTAGCTTTTCATTTGGGACGAGAAACACAGAATTTTGTGTTTTTTACGCGATCTGGTTCGTGTGAATGCTGCATTTTTAGCATTTTTTATTTATTTTTTAATGGCAGATGTAGAATAAAGTAATTTTTATGACATTATAAGCCTAAATTTTGTATATTTTCCCAGTGAAAGCGCTTGATTATCTCAACGATTGTTAAATATTTGTAGATATTTTGTGCTGCTAATGCAAAGCAACCTAAACTTGTCCTACAGGACCAAACGAACCAATGCAGCCCATAATCAATAACATAACACCAGCAGATGTAAACTAACATATTTAAAGCTGCCGTGATCTGGAAATTTGTGCCACAGTTTTAATTTTTTCCCAAATACAAAATACTAAACCCTGAAGTGTTTGTTCTTCTAAATACTGTTTGTTTATTGCTTCTGTTTGGCACATTTTTAAAAGAAGACACGTAGAATAAATTAATTTAAAGCTTAAAGTTGGTTATTTTTGCAGTCGCTCATAATCGCTTTAAAAAAGTTGAATATCTGGCTGATGAATTGTGTAACTTTGGTGATGTTTTTAAAGGTATCATGCTTTTAAAACCTGCTTTAGTGGTTTTGTAATTAACTTCTTATAACAACATTCTCACTCCTGTTGTCTTCTGAAGCCTAATCTGTTCCCCGTCTGTGTCTCCTGTCTCCAGGTTTTAGGGTTTGAGGTGGACTCGATCAACTCGGTCCAGTTCTCCAACCACACAGGTGAGCTCGACGACGAAACCTCAACGTTCACGCTTCAGTCGGTGTGTGTGTGTGTGTGTGGGAGTGTGTGAGTCACTCGGTGTCGTGACGATGTGTCGGCGAGCGCCAACAGAAACAGATTCAGTCGGCGGGTCGACAGATGAGTCTGGTTTTCTGGGAGGTCAGACACCGGAGCAGCTGCCCGACACCGGAGCAGCTGCAGGCCATCGGCTTCATTCACATTTTTCACTTCCTCCCTCCGTCTCTCTGTCATCTGCTGCTTTCATGAAGCGGTGACGCCATCTCAGCCTGAGGTCACAAACGATAATTAAAGTGATGTTTTCGGTTTACTATTCGCAGTTTGTCAGCCAGTAAATCTGATGCATGGCGTCTCCTGTGGCTGCAGAGGAGCTTTCTAATGTAGATTCCAAAAAAAAAAAACAACAGAGGAGCCTCGTGATGCTATCAGACTTGTTTGCCCTTGAGCTCGTACATGACAAACTCACAACAGAGAACCTGAAGCAGTCTGAAGGACTAGAAGTCTGTTGGAAGTTGCTTTTGAAATGTAGGGATTCAGCGTTTTTGGGGCTTGAGTCAGGACATTTCAGACTCCGTTTTCTTTAATCTGTCTCTTGTGAGTTGCTTCACGCTGTGTACTGCTAAATCACTGACGCACCTCTGGATGTATTTTTGAAATTTTACTGACTGAAAATTGACTGCACACGTTAAATCGGTCGCTTCTGGAAAACTGACGAGATTAAAATAGCTGAGAAGCACCTGCTTTTTTAAATCAGAAATGAATAGGACAGATGTGCAACTTCTTTGGATTCAACATGTCTGTTTGCTGCAGCAGAAGGAGCTTGTGTTTAATTTTGATTATTGCTGATCAGCTTCTTGTCATATCTTGCTACCTGTCTAGTTTGCACCATTCATACAGTCGTCATGTTGCTTATTTTTCATAACAAACGGAGGCCTGTTGGTCGATTAGCCGTGACAAACATTAAGTAAAGTTTTAAATTCTCGTGTAGAAGTTTCCAAAGATGCCATATAAAATGATGCTCAGGACCTCAAATGACAGCATGCGTGTTCCTAATTTGTAAAAGAAAAAAGTGGATGCAGAAGTACAAATCGGTTATCAAAGGAGGGATTGTGTCTCTGCGTCAAAGCTCGTGTTGTTTGTTTTGTGTTCCACTAAGTAGATTACACGATGAGTTGGAACAAGCTGCGACTGACAGACACTGAAACTTAAGATGGTTTTAACAACCCTAAAGCTCCTTAACTGTGTTTTAACGCTTGCGGTCACATTTCTACTCTTTGTGGGCTCATTTTTCTCTGCAACATGAAGTCCTGCACCTCCGAGGGAACAGCCTGCAGCTCAGCAGAGTAGAAGCTCAGTCCGAGCTGAGGCGATGGAGGCCTTCAGTTTGTGCCGAGAACAGCAGAATCTCTTGTTTTTATGGATCCAGTCAAAGCAAATCACTTTTTTTTCCAGCAAATTTTAAAATGAGACATGCAGAATGAAGTAATTATGATAAAATATTCTGAATTTATCCTCATATTTGGGTAATTTTGCACATGGGTGGTTCAATGTTGATAATCTGGTCAGTTTTCTTTTTCTGTTGCTGTAATGTTGGCAATTAAAAAATATTTATAAATAAATAGAAGAAATAATAAAGTTTATTCTCTGTAAATTGCATTTGTTTAAATCCAGTCCAATTTAAAGGTACACATTTAGATATTTATTAAAATCTAATCCAATTTAAAGATGTAAAACTTCCCGATAATTGCGACAGTGATAATTAGATTTAGAGGAAATCTGCATCTCGTTATTGAACCCCAGAGCGACCGTCTGCTCCATCCCTCAGCGTCACACCGACTCCTAATGTTTTGATCTAATTCCTATAAATGAATAATCCTCTCTGCGTCTTTCTGCCGTCTTCGCTCCGATCGGTGACCTCGGCTCTCGTCGGAAGAACGAAGCAGCTGAACGCTGTGAAAACAAATATATTTGTCCAGCTGGTGCCTGGTTTTGTGGCTCTTTCTGCGGATTCGATGAACCGCTCAGAACTCTGGTCCTGTTTTGTGTTTTGTGGCCTTTAACAGACACAACAGCCGGTTTCCTGCTGCTAAAAAACACAAAGGAAGATGATGGACTACTTTCTTTTTTAAGGTATTTTATGATTGTGTTTGCTCATTTGTTGAAAGAAGGTTTAAAAAGTATGAGAAGGACTTTTCAGGTGCCTCACTTCGTTGTAAATTGCTCTTTTTGGGGAATTAATTAGCTGTACGACACAAAGATTTCCTTGTTTTCGTCCTTTTCCTGCTGGTTTTGGGACCAAGTGGACGACCTCGGAGCCCTCGTGTTGCGCTCGTCTCGTTTTCCATTTCGTCTAATCTGAGAACACAAGTTCTCACAACCTGCTCTGTGTAATTACACCCGACTCAAAAGGTCAACTTGGCAAACTGACGTCTGATTAATGATTTCTTTGCTTGTGAGCAGGTTTAAAAATCATCCAGGTTGGATGCTGTGCAGGACAAATGTTGTTATAGCCACTGATTTCCCTCCAAACATCACTGATCAACTGGAAGAAAAACATTTAGCTTTATGTACATGAACCTTGTTGCTCAGGAAAATCCAGATAAACATGCAGCAAACACTATAAAAAATAAAAATAAATACATTTAATATAGAAACTGGTTAAAGGTAAAGCCTGTGTGGCACGTTAATAAAATCAGAAATGTGCTTTAAATGCCGTTTTTGTTGTTTTGTTTACCATAAATGAAATCCTGCCCCCCTCTTGTGCAGCAGAAGTGTCCTTGCTCAAATAAAGGCTTTTAAATTAATTGCAAATTTAATTTAGAGTTAAGGAAAAACTCTTAAGAGGAAGCTATTCTTCTGTGAAATACATGATAATAAAAAAGCAAAAATGGATAGCCAGTCACATACTGAAATAGAAACTCTACATTAAGCCAACTTGCTGCACATTTCTACCTTTGCATGATGTTATTTTTGTCATAGATGTATTCAGTCAGTTAATTTTTGTAAGGGTTGACTGTAGAGATCCAACGATTATCTGCCTCGTTGATTGTTGATGCCGATATTTTCTGATGATTTGATTTGCAGGAGGTCCGTTGGCTGGATGAGGCAGACATGACTTTATTTTGAGGTTTTTAAACTGCAGTAAACAGTAAAAGCCTGCGTGTCTACTTAATAACTACCAGAATTGCAGGTTTAAACTGGCTGAACTTTGCCAGATAGCATCGAGCACTTTCCCAGAGCAGTGAGCGTCACAGACATTTTAAGTGTTCAATATTGAATTTCCCTTCTGGGATAAATAAAGTATGTTTCATTTCATTTCATTCATTTCATATCTCCAGAAATAAAACTCCTACAGCCACGAAATTTGTTGAGGACGCCGACAGATGAGTTACCAGTGGATAAACATGTTTAAATGGCTCCGGCAGAGGACACATTTTTCAATATTGGCCCTTAAAAATGTACAAAAAAGGTGCAACGTTGTCAATCGATGATGGTGTTGGGGCCCCAGAAAGTTCCTCTGAGTATAAGAATCCATATTTCCTTGTAAAAATACAGTTTTTGGTCAACATTTTACCGTCCTTTAAGGCCTCTAGCATCAGTAGAGTTGATATCTAACAAATTTGGAATGCAGAAATTCTATTTTTTTCTATTTTTAACTTTAATCTGTCCAAAATGGCAAAAATGAAAAATAATGGCCCTTAAAAATGTATAAAAATGCAATATTTTTAAACAAAGGTAGTATTATGGCCCCAGAAAGTTTTTCTACGTGTATGTATGAAGAGTTCATTTGCAAAAACAGATTTTCAGAAACATATTTTTTTGTTGTTTGCTTGACATAACATCAATCAAAGTTAAAATGACTTGACAAAAATAGAGATAACTTAAGTTTGATTGATATTGTCTCATGTAGCAATTTCAGCAATTTCCCTGAGGTTTCCACCAAGGGGATCAATAAAGTTCTATTCTATTCTATTCTATTTCCATTCTAGACGATGAAAAAGTGGGGTTTCTGAAGGTTTGTGAAGATGGAGTTATCTGTTTATGTGGATGTGTCCATTTTAACGACTAAAAGTCTCTGGTCAACATTTCACCAACTTCTGAGGCTTTTAACATGAGTAGATTTGATTTGTGCTCAGCATGGCAAACAAAGAAATGGTGATGTGGACGAATTGGAAATGCTAATTTTTCTCACAGTAGCAGTAGTTCGATTTGAATCCTCAGGAACCAGGTAGACTTGAGAGCTAAACCAGGATCCATGTGATATGATCTCAGTTATTATCAGCCCACCTGCAGAGCAGACGGTGATACAGAGACAGGTGGAAAAGAAAGTATGACCTTAACACAGAAACGTCTGAGAGTCTAGTGGTGCTCGCTTAATCAAATCCTGGGTATTGAAACCGGCGTTTCTTCGAGGAGAGAGTGTAATTTGTGGTGACATTGAAAAAGACATGCGAGAGAGAAGGCGAGCAGAGAGGCAGGAGAATGAGTCGGCGAGCGAGCGAGCGAGCAGCACGACGCAGCGGTAAACAGCAGCAGGCGTTAGAATTGCGACAGCAGCGTGTGATGACGACAGAAGCAGCTCTTATCTGTAGGCCGGCCTTCGTTCCCTCTCTCTCCGACTGCTCATCTCTCTTTCTTAGCCCCTTTGGCTTTCTCCCGGCTTGTTGCTTAGCAACCAGAACCCCCCGCCACGTGACCTGGCTGTGACTCACCTGGAGCTGCGACATCACCGGCCTGCAGCAAACATGTCACACACAGACAGACATGCAGCGACGCGCACACGGAGCTCACGTCACATACATGTACATGCAGTTCTTCACACATATTCATACACACAGGACACACAGCGCTGAGGCTGCTCTGGGTGGTAGTGAGTGTGTGTTTGTTCCAAGCTGAAGTGGAACATTTTCTTTATTCACCTTCATGCTGCTCAGTTACAGGCAGAAGCCACACGGACTAAAATGATGCTTTTGGGTACGAACATCATGTTTTAGGAGCACACATGACAAACCAGCTGCACATAACTGTGATTTCTGAACATAGAAGCCGGTGGAGCAGCACGAGATCTACTGAGGAATAAAACACACAAGTTAGCTGCTGTTGTTGGATGACTGGTGGTTGTTGAGCTGCGATGCACAAGCTGCTGTTTGCAAAGTTCACACTCAACTTTTTGACACAAAATACAGAAGCGGTGACGATTTCTGTGACATAATGTTGGTTGGTTTGGAGCCGTCTCCACGTAAACGTTCAGGAAACATTTACCCTCAGAACCCCAAAACGCTCCAGTGGGTTTGAAAAGCTTGTTGCTAAAATTACACCATTTAGCTTCACCAGAAACTTTATCAGGTATCCGTGTTTTGTTGCTGACACTTTTGTATGTATAAATCCTCATTTTGACATAGTTGTGTGTTAATATCCAGGTTGCTGACACATTTATGCATATATACCCAGATTTTGAACACTTCTGTTTGGTAAAAAAAACATTCAGTCCGATAATACTAAAGATACTGACACTTTTGTGCATTTAAATCCACATTTTTGATATCTTTGTGCAATAATATACAGATTGTTGGCACATTTATCTATTAATACTCAAGGTTACTGACACGTTTGTGTGTTATTATCCATGTTATTGACACTTCTGTCCAATAATACTCAAGTTACTGACACTTTTGTGCATTTAAATCCACATTTTTTACATATTTGTGCATTAATATCTAGGTTACTGACACATTTCTGCATAAATATCCAGGTTTTGAACACTTTCGTTTGGTAGTATCCATGTTATTGACACTTCTGTCCAATAATACTCAAGTTAATGACACTTCTGTGCGTTTAAATCCACATTTTTTACATATTTGTGCATTAATATCCAGATTGTTGCCACATTTGTCCATTAATACTCAAGGTCACTGACACATTTGTGTGTTTACATCCAGGTTTTTGACACTTTTCTTTGGTAATATCCATTTTATTGATGCTTCTGTCCATTAATACTCAAAGTACTGACACTTTTGTATGTTTAAATCCACATTTTGACATATTTGTGAGTTCATTTCCAAGTTATTGACACGTCTGGATTTTATTTCATGCAAAACACTTCATTGTTTTTATTCAGGACTTTGTGCTGCATTAAAAAAAAATGAAGCCACACTCAATAAAAATGTGATGAGAGCAAACAAAAAAAAAAGAAACTGCTTTTAGTTCAGAGGGTTAAAGAAGTTAAACGTCTGCATTAAGTTTGGCCACAAAATAGTGAAAACAGAAGGTGTTCACAGGTAATTAGCTCTTCCTGCTGCCAAAATATAACACATTATGTTATTTTCTTATAAAAGCAAGTGATTGCTAAACCAATGAGAATCTGGATAATCCAAGTTAAATCAGATTGGTTGATATAAACTAAAGGCTTTTGTCAGCGTTCTCAGAGGAGGTGCAGTAACCGCTGTGTGTCCTCTCTGCAGGTTATTCCCACTGGAAGGGTCAGGTGTTGACGGCAGACGAGCTCCACGTCCTGTACGAGGGGATCAAACTGAACAACGTGCACCACTACGACTATGTTTTAACAGGTGGATCTCCTGCTTCCTTCACCTCACGCTGCTATCAGGGGCAGCGTCTGTGCTTAGAGCTCTCGGCTGCACACAGAACACAGAGCTACTATAATATGACTTTTAGATCATCCAGAGGACAGATTTCATCAAATTAATCTTGTATTATTAACGTGTGTTCTGGTCTCCTTATATTCTCTTTTAATTACTCAGCAGCTGGATTTTGTCCTGCCAAAGCTAAACTTAAACATCTGTGTGAATATAACATGTTATTTGACTAAACCTGCGCTAATCAGTAGGTACGACATAATCAGGAGCTGCTGCAGTTTAGCAAAGCTGAGCACACCTCAGTGTTATTTTCATCCTGAAGAACTTCGTCGTGCATGTACACTTGAACCGTTTTACTCAGAAAACAAACAAAGTTAAAAGCACAAGTTAAGATAAATCTGTAAAAAATAATGTTTTGGGGATTTGTGTGGTGCGTTCAGGGTACACCAGAGACACGTCCTTCCTGGAGATGGTGGTGGACATTGTTCAGGAGCTGAAGAGAGCCAACCCCAACCTGGTTTATGGTGAGCAGCAGCAGCAGTCTGGTTTTATTTAATGTGTGGTAGGAATCTGGTTTTCAGTAACTCTTTAGAAAAACACGAGTAGAAAATGTAATGATGTCTGAAAATCGCTAAATAATTAGCTTCAAGAGACACAAGAAATAAAGACATTTCTGCTTTTATTCACACCTTTTGTAATTCGTCCTCAAAATGTCAATTCTGCACCTTTACCGGTTCACAGTTTTATTTTTGGGATCTACTGAAATGAGTTTAGATGCTTTAATGATCAAAAACACAACACTTTTGTCAAACTGCAGCATCTTTTTAAGGTCTTTAATTATTCATTTTATAAAACAAATAAAATGCATTTCACTTATACATTTTGCAAGTGTCCACAGGTGCAGCTCTGCATGCCGTAGATATTTTGCTGCTCACATTTTTAATTCGTTTTCCATCTCGTCTCATTTCTGTTTGGTGTAAACACTGCCTGCAGTTCAGCCAAAAAAAAACTCCCGGAGTATTTGCCATGTGTGTGTGTTGGTGACAGCCGAGTCACAGGTTGTATTGCACAGTTTATTCCTTAAACGAGACGTGCAGAATAATGTGATTTTGGTTAATTAACAAGAATTTAAGCTAAGATTTGGTTTTCTGACAGAGCCTAATGTTATGGATGAGTAGTTCAAGTACAGTCGGAAAGTTTAGCATCTGACAGTTCGTGTTTTTTTTTTTTTTTTCAGTTTATGACTGACAAATTGTCATTTTTGTGATTTTTATTTTTATTTTATAAGGTCAACATGCCTTCCACGTCCAGTGTTCGGATGTTTAGGAGGCTTAAAACCTGCAGAGGAGGGAATGATGCTAGGTCTTTAAGTGAAAAAGAGCAAAAGCAAATTGAGAAGGCGGCAGTTGAGGACATGCGTTCTTTATTCTACACTTCTGAGTTTAAACTGTAGTGTCGGTGGTTTTATGAATTCATGATGTATTCCTTGTGTGAAAGCCACACTTCAGATGCTCCGTCATGTTTTTTAAATCTTTATTTGATTTGTATCATATCACAAATCCAGCTGCGGTGTCTTTCAGAAGATATTTTTGATCCAGTGTTCTCACTGAAGTATAACAGTTTTGATGCAACTCTAACTGTTTTAAAGAAGTGATAACCCTCAACTTGTGTTTACTTAACTTCATGTAGTCGTGGAATTTAAAGATCCGGTCGTGGGGATGTGTCTCTGTTTCTAGCCAGAAGGACTTTTCATGTCATGTTGCACCGATCAGTTTGACTCAGATCAGGCCTGTTGCAGCTTCGCCTGGAGACACAGTGAAGACCGACTCTGCTCCAAACAGGCAGCAACCAGAGGGCGACATGCGTAATGTGTTTACACAGCACTTGTTGTGGACAGAGCGCCGTGTTACAGACACTGTCGAGGCTGTTAAATATTATTATGCTGTTAGTTGTTTAACTTTCTGTGTAAAGAAGGGATCTAAAGGAAGCAGAAGGTTTCAGTCCTTAGTCCTGTTTACTGTTTTCAAGTATATTTTAGCAGGTTTTTTAGGTGTTGGGGTGTTATTTTGTACTCCCTGGCATCATTTCAGCAACGGTGTTTATATATTTAAAGTGCAGGACTTTTGCATAAATCTAAATGTACGTTACATCCCAGCCAAACAAGCTCACATAGACTGTGAATCTCGCAGTATACCAGAGTTTTGAATCTGATTTCTGGGTGACGTTCCCACATTGGTGCACCGATGTCGATGTTCTCATCGACCTGTTGGTTCTCCAGAGCGACAGCAGCTCAGAAAATGATGGAGTGAAACTTAACAAAGTCGTGATATTTCATCTAAATCACTTTATTCTACGTTTTTCATTTAGAAATATGTCAAAAAATCAACTGTTTGTTTTAATCAGATTTTGAAAAATACAAAAAATTCTGCGTTATTCTGTGCAGCCGTGAAGCCGTCAGTGACTTGACTGCGACCAACAGTAACGTGGCAAAAACTCAGAAACTAGTCGGCTGAGCTGCAGGCAGTGTTTACACAGAGCAGAGAGGAGATGTATGGAAACTATATATCTATAGTTGTGTGTGTAGAGTCACCATTTATCTAGCACTGGAAACACCTATGGCACTTTCAGTTATTTTCTAATTTTTGTATAATAAAAAAATCAAGGAAGTGTCTCGTACTGCACAAAACACATTTCTGTGTCCTTTTAGTTCTCGTTGTGCTGTTTTCATAGAGTCTCTGGACTTCAGCTTTACTGCTTAATGATAAATCCCAGTCACCTTATTAACTCTGTAAGGGGATAATGTGACTAATAATGTCCGTGTCGTGGCTGGCTGTGTGAGGAATCACGACCTGTAGTGTAGCTCCACCCAAAGGACCAGTTTCACAGTTTTATCTGCACTACAGTGGAGGCTCTAATAATAGAAAATCATTAGTATGTTGGTCACTTTTATATTCTGAGGTCTGATGAACAAGCCAGCCTTCGAGAGCTGCAGGCACAGCCTTTTAGTCGTCTGTTTTACGAGAACAACGGTTGCTAAAATGAATATTAAAGGGTTTTTTTTTTGGTCATTCTCTTCAGTCTAAATGCATTTAAGTCCAGTTTTAATGTTGTGTTGTGTTTGTGTTTCCAGTTTGTGACCCGGTCCTCGGCGATCACGGATCTATGGTGAGGAAACTGTACAATCTGTTATTTTACAGATATTTATTGAGGATTTCTGTGTGCGTGGGAGGGTTCAGTGTGCGTTTCTGCGCATGCACATGTGTGGTTTGGTGCTCTGGGGGTGTGTTACAGGCCTCGTTTCTTATGACAGATTATTGTGATCTGACACAGTGACTCACTCGCTGTGCGTTGCGTTGTGTTTATGGCACACTGTGCAGTTTGAGGGATTAAGATCGTTTTCTGTCAGTCAGCGTTGGCAGTTTAAAACAAAGATCAGAGCTCTGCTGTAACCACATTAATGTCGACCCTTCAGAGCTGCATTCGTGTGTTTTTATCGTATTAAACGACACTAACCTGTGTGTGTTTCCTCCACTCCTGCAGTACGTTCCTCAGAATCTGTATCCGGTCTATAAGAACAAGGTGGTTCCTGTCGCCGACATTATCACCCCCAACCAGTTTGAGGCAGAGTGAGTGTTTTATTTGCCAATGCTTTAATTCAATTTTACGCTTTTTAATTACCTCTGTTGGTTTCAGTGTGAGAATATTAGCTCCAACCTTCTTTATGTAATGCCACTCGTGTTGTTATCTAATACCTCTATTTGGTCGTCCCAACATACGCCTCAGCTCCCCTCTCATCCTCTCTTATCTCACTCGCTTTAACCTTCTTTTTTTTTTTTATTGCACACTTTGTGAGAATATTTCATCCTGGATGAGTTGAAGCCGAGATGCTTTGTGTTCTGTGGCTGCACGGTTACAACAGATGGAAATACAGCAGATTAATCAATGCATATGTTCCCTGCTGGCATCGTTCTTTGGGTTTGAATTTAAAATAAAGTTCTGGAGACTGTATTTTTTACTGTGCATGATCCATCAGTGGCTTTTGGTAGAAATCCTTTAAATACCAGCAGCTGTTGTTTAGCTTTAGATGATATTTTATTGTTCTGCATTGAGAAGATTTAAGGAGTTGTTTTTTTTTTCTTCACATTTTGAGCATTTTTTTTTTCATAGCAACAGCAAAATCAAGCCAGAGTTAAATCGGTGACGGTTTTAAACGTAGCTTCACTGTGATGTTGCTCCACCTACTGGTGCTTCTGTTCACCTGCAGAATCAGATTTATGTTTTTTCCTGTTTAAGAGTGCATCCACGATAGGACCAGGCGGGGGTGGCACATGCCATCTCACCGATTTCAATGAAACTTTGCCAGTTTAAAGGGGTCCACCCAAAACTACTTCAGTCTAAGATTAAGGAAATTTGGTCAAACTGGGGGGATTTCACCACCCCTCCTTGTTTTTTTTGCAAAAATGACCAAAAATCGCCTAAAAAATGGTCAGAAGTATAAAGCTCTACTGCTGTGAGAATTCAACCAAATCTTTTCATATTTTCAGTGAATGTTATCCTACCCAAGGACAATCTATTGTCAATGTTTCGTTCTCCTACGACCAGTTTCATCACACAAATCATGTCAGCCAAGACCGCCTCTCTCACCCAACAGTGAAAATTGTTAAAATACCCAAAGTTTAGGCCAAAATATCTCCAATGCCCGAGCATGCTTCAAAAAGCTGAGCATACCGTCTAAAAGGTGGGACTTCATACTAACATTATCTGCAATAAAATCTTCGGGCACTCACTAAATTATTTTACAGGAGGACTGCAAACTTGTCTCCCACCGCAGGTTACCCGCTTCAGTTTTTTTTCATTATAACGCGTTGATTCTGTAATTATGGCACAGCAACAGACAGAAAATGCCACAAAATGGTTACACACCATACACTTTAATGAAACTGGCAAAGTTTCATTGAAATCGGTGAGATGGCATGTGCCACCCCCGCCTGGTCCTATCGTGGATGCACTCTTAATAGCCTCTAAGAATGATAGGTGTCTCCTGATGCCTTTGGAGCAGTTAACAACAGGTGGAGGGGAAATTTCATTGGTTATGTGCACACGCAGACCAAATTCTGAGCAACAGAAAGTCAATAATTTGCAACTTTCCAAATATTATTGCTGTCTGCAATGGTGGAAGTTTATTGTGCAAAAACCTTGTTTATTGATGGTGTCATGATGTTGTAGCTCTTTTTGGAGCAGACTTTATATTAGGAGTTTTGTTGTTGTTGTTGTTTTTTTCATGATGTTTTTAGCAAGACATACAAATTCCCAGTTAAACGTTTCTGTTTCTGTGCATAACGATTCTTTGTTTGCTTGTGTTTTAGGTTATTGACGGGGAAGAACATCAGCACAGAGAAAGACGCTGTAGAGGTAACAAATACGTCAACTTGTTCTTCCTTCAATCTGCCATTCTATGATTTTTCTGCCTTCACACACCTGTTATCTCTCTCTGTCGACAGGTAATGGACCTTCTCCACGCTATGGGCCCAGACACAGTGGTCATTACCTCCTCTGATCTCCCCTCCAGACTGGGAGATCGCTTCCTCGTGTCCCTGGGCAGCCAGCGCCACGGTGGGTGATGAGTAACCCAGGATGATGTATGTGAATGCGCCTTAGACGCTGCTGTAGGAATCTAGGGTTTGACGTTAATTCCATTTGTACGCAGTGAAAACAAATCAGAGAAGTAAACGCGTTGTGTTTCTGCTCAGTTCGTCCAGACGGCAGCAGGACGACACAGAGAGTTCGAATAGAAGTTCCCAAAGTGGACGCCGTCTTCGTAGGAACTGGAGATTTGTTTGCTGCTATGCTGCTAGCGTGGACACATCACTATCCCAACGACCTAAAGGTGCACGCAGGCAACGCACAAAAAGACAAGAGCGGCCTCACGCGTCAACTTGTGGAGCGAAATAATGACTCTGTTTTAACTCTTGTCTCTTTCAGACGGCCTGTGAGAAGACGTTTTCAGTGATGCACCATGTTATCCAGAGGACCATATCTTACGCTCACGGTAAGAAAACACAACTGAAGCTTTCACACGGCTCAATCATTTAGATTCTACGTTGTTTGGATCCTGTATACGAAACACAATCCTCTATTTTCTGTCGGTATTTTGGAGAACATACACTTCAGTTAACAGTTTAACATTTTGTTTTTGAAAAAAAATCCAATTCCAGCCGTAACAAGCTCTGCCTGCAGGTGGCACAGATGTCACGTTCTCTGCATCTCTGCTGCTCAGCTACTGCTGCTGTCACTTTATTGGTTATTGTTTGCAGTGGTTCAGCTGGTTCTGCAGAATTATCTTCACCCTCATAACCCTCTGAACCCCAATTATCTTTTAATTATCAAGGAATTACACCATTTTTGTTTGAGCCAGAAACTAAAAAAACTGAAGGAATCATTGGATTTTTTAAACTTTTTGACAGTCCATGTGGTTTTATCAGGAAATACAATCAAATATAAGCTCAGAATTGTGATATTTAATACAGATCTCTTTATTCTACATGTCTCCTTTAGAAATTCACTTAAAATGAAGCACTTGCTGCAGCCACATTTGTAAAAAAAAAAAAAGAGCTTCTCAGTGCAACTGTCGTGATGAAAATTCAATTTTCAGTTGAACTGCAGGCAGTGTTTCCACAGAGACACTGAGAAAAACATCCAACCTACTGGATTAATAAATAAATGCAGCATGGCTCAGAAATGGTGAACAGAGGAGCCAGTTGTTGGAGATACATCCAGCATGGTGAAACATCTTTCTGCAGCTGAGGAGCAGAGAGGAAAAGTCTGGAAACATGGAGCTAGTTCAACATTTATTGTATGTGGAGCCACCACGCATACAAATTGTTGTACATGCAGCTTTATAACATTTCTGCAAAACAAATAATAAAGGAAATTCAACATTTGCTTTTCATTTTTTATATGATTTATGGCTTTATAGCTTCTCTCTCCTTCTTCATGGTTGTTCTGTTTCAGGACTTGATATTGCAGTGAGAAATGAGCCCACTGTGAGGAAAAGGTTGACAGGAGCTCAGAGGGTTAAAACATTGAATCATCTAGCCCATAAATTAACGTTTATCCTGATTTTGTTCACCCCTTCCTGCCCCTGTCTCCTCAGAGCTGGCAGGTCCCGGTCGGAGGCCCAGTCCACCCCAGCTGGAGCTGAGGATGGTCCAAAGTAAAGCCGACATAGAAGACCCTGCTATAGTTACGGAGGCCACAGTCATATCCTAACATTACCGACCCCTAAGACTCATACTAACCTTCACCCATAAATCTCTCAAGTCCTGTATCTCGGTAAATCTCTCATCACTGTAAACCTTGACTGTCATTGCCGAACTCCGACATCATCCAGACTCCTGAAACACCTTAGTATTGTAACCCCTTTAAGTCCTCAGTGTCCTGAACCCTGAAACAAACCCTCAAACCTGTAACTCCCACAACCTTTTACCCCAAGCCCGGTTTGGAACCAGAGCCGTGGATAGACGGGACGTTTGGTCAGGACGCGTGAGTCGAGTTTTTAGTCGTATTTCTCGCTCTCAATGTTGCTTTGATGCAAACTCCACAAGCACAATGTTTAACATGCCACATATAAGGATTACAAATTTTAAAAACTCAAATACAATATGAGAGTTCAGTCATCAGCACTGTAGAGAAATTCATTGTGGAGCTGCAAAAATAATGTCATATTTGTTATAGCAAACATGGAATAGGTCGCAGGTCAGCCAAGAAAAACCTTCGTTCTCTGTAACTAAATCAGCCACAGAGCACTGAGTGACCACCTGCAGCCTTATCGGCTTGAATGGACTGTAAGTCAGCATAAAAAGCTGGTATTTGCAGCATAATGAATCATTTGAACCAGTTATTTTCTACTAAAATAATGAGAACAAACTGGGAGCACAGCAGCTGCAGGTGTTCATAAGATTTCTGGAAATATACCAACAGGTGATGCAGCACAAGAACGAGTTCGCTGCTGTTTTTAGACGATCCAGATGTGTGTACATAACGACAACCAACGGACTCATCAGCCTTTAGACTGAAATAAACTGAGTAAATTGGGATTTTACATTTGGAAATATCCACTTATTATCGTAAGTTCTGACAAAACAAGGGGATCTCCTGGATAACTTGGACGAAAAATCTGCCCTCTTTGTTTTTTTTCTTTGTTTGTAACCACTGCAGACAGATGCTTTAGGGCAATATACCTGCCAAAGCCACGTGGTTCACAAATTATGTCTTAATGCGAAGACGCAGCTCGACTCCACAGCGACATCTTCTCAGCTGTGATTCGTACTCGGCTACATGTGCTGCAGAAAATGCTGGGAGTCTTTTAAACAATTCTTAATTTGATTTTTTTTGTTGTCTTAGAATAGAATTTTATTGCCATTTGCCTGCCAGGGTACATTACAGTGCCGGGACATTAAAGGTAAAGAATGAAAGTTAGAGGAGCAGTGAAAGAGAAGCTAAATACAAATGTACATTATACGAATAAAAAAAGAACACATTACAAAAAGAGAAAATAATAAATACCCTGAGTAGGTATTTGTAATATTTGACATGTTGGCTCATAATATTCTCTGCATTGAGTTCTGTTAATAAAATAGCAATAACATTAAAAAGAAAGGTTTTTATATTTTCAGACGATGAGATAAACCGGTTTGACTGCAGCCCTCGTCTGTCACAGAATCTAAGCTCTAATGCAGAATTCGTAGAAAAAGAAAAAACACTTTAATTTGAAATATTTAGCGAAAACTAAACCAAAATCTAAACGGCGTTGATTCCAGCTCCAGAACTCTACCTCTAAATTCTTAAATACGAGCTGCTGTCTGGCTCTGCTACTGCCACTCCCCTCTACTCGCATGTCGTTTCACCGCTGATCAAACCCCGTCTATCTATGGCTCTGCTCGCCACTATTCGGACCCCCTCCCCGTCTTACAGCAGTGATGTAATGGTGACCAGGTCTAAACCCCCCCCCCTCCGAGACCCCTGAAAATATAACAAAGAAAAAAAAAAAAACGCACAATGTATAGTTGATGTATAGATGTTGTACTATAACTGTATTGGACCATCTGTATGATATCTTCTATCTGATCTGTCTCTTGGACCATTGTGTTGATGCTACTGTACTATAGACCACACGCACTACAATATCACTCAAACCAGAGACGTCTGGGCTGGTTCTGGTTCTCCTGGAGGCATCGGCGGCTCCAGACGTCGTCACTCGTCAGTCCAGTACTCATAGTGCGTAGTTGAGCCACTTTCATCCGAACACAACGTAAAGAAAAACAGGCAACCGGAGCCGCCCGAGCTGCCGATTTCACCTGCGTGCGACCAAACGGAAATCGGTTCCCCTCGGTGCCAGAACCAGCCCACATCCCGCCGGGCGGTTACCGGCCCAGCTCTGGCCCAGAACCCTATATCAGAGAGTTGTGCCACTGAGTTTACTGGAGGCCTCGAGAAGTAGTGAAGGTTCCCCCGCATCTAGTAGCAGCTCCGTTAGTTCTGTTTGTTTAGCGTCTTTTTGGTTCACTTCACTCTCTACTGTGGCGACGACAACAGGAGTCCGATGCCACAAGGTCCGATTTCTACATGATGCCAGGAATCGAATCTTTAAAATCTGCGGTGTTATGTTGGTGAACTGATGCAATTCGTTTTGTTTTTTGTTGGTGCCTTATCAAGTGTTCCATGGATTTGCAGGACGTTACTGTTTCTCGATGCCAAGTTGACCGACTGCATCATTTTAACTATAAACAGGCCAAAATATTGAGTTTGCAGTGACAGAAAATCCTCAGATCCACTATAATCCCATGTTATCCCACCTAATGTGACCTACACGTTTTAATCATGTTTTAATCTAACGTGGAAAGAATGTTTCAAGGATGTCTGTGGTTGCAAATTAGGTCCCTGAAAGGTTCAATTTAGGGCATAAACTGTGATGTTTAGAGGATGTTTGGAGGATGCTGTCAAGGCTACAGATTATGTTAAATGATATGAGAAGAGCAACATTCAGCATTTTAATAAGGTTTTAAGATGTTGCTGAGGCTTCTGAGCTTCAATAAAAAGCAAGTGGATGAAGGTGAAACATCTTCAACTCCTGAGATTTCCAAGACCTGAATGACTGAGAATCTTCAGATACGAGGCCTCGGGTGATTTTTGTAGAACGTAATGTGATGTATTAAGAAAGGCAGACAATGTTGTGGGGATCATGTTGAGGTATAACCATCTAAAACATTCTAGGATGTCCTCAATGAAGCATTCAGACCTCCTAACTTTAAGAACATTCTGCAAGAACTTTGTTTTAGTACAAAAAACTATTTAGCTGGAATCGTCCCAGCCTCAGAAAGGGGTTGCTGTAGGGGGAGCTGTTGGGTTTCTTTCTGTATTATCGTAAAGTCTTCACCTCACTTGAAGCTGTTTTCCAGACCAGGAACCAGGTTTTAGGATGTACACCTTAAAAAATCCTGAAATGGCCGAACAGGAGTTGTTCTAAAAATGTGATGATTTGTGTGCTACGTGCTAACAGAACTGAAGTTACATCCACTAACTTCTGGTTGTTGTTTTGGTGACTCGAAGTTCACGTCGTAGTCGAAGCTGTTGGATCTGATGCTGCAAACGAAACAGAGGAGCTGTGATTCGGCACTAAATAACTAGACTTGAATTGCATGAAGCCAAAAAAGCTAACGTGCTACCTTGAAGACGTCGTGATGCTCCACTCAAGGTTCCTTGTTTATCTGCTGATGTACAGTCAATCTGAAGTCTTGGTTCATTTATGATCCTAAAAATCTTGTCGTTGAATAATTCTGTGAATCGGCTATGGTGGCATCGAGCTAACTGGTTGGTTTTCCGCAGTAGAGTGTGACGAGAAAGAGGTGACGAGATCTTAACATGCGACGGTGGTCATGAGCCGGTTTCAAACCAATGACGTCGCAAGAACTTGGCATGTGCCTTAAGCCCGCTGCGCTACCAGGGCACCACGGAAATGAGATTTTAACATTTTTAAGTTACCTCCAGAATCGTTGTTCACCTCGTTGCTTCTTAATTTCAGTTTTAATTAATCTTTTAACAAAGAAACGTTTTTGGATGGCGTAAACCAAACATGCAGAGGCTTAAAAAAAACAAAAAAAACAAATCCAGACGCCGTCAGTGTCCCACCTGAGCTGGATGTAAGGTTCTGGGCGGACCAGTGTAATTCTGTACTGCTGTTGTTTCTCTATGGACTGTACTGTGATACTGCCTTAGGAACCTAACATCATAACACCACATACTGCTCACTGAGGGAGGTGGAGAGGGAGGACGAGGGGGAGGGAAGGAAACATGAGGTGTCTTAAATGTGTTTGACCTCAGATTTCTGCTCTCCAGTGCGGATAAAGTGAGGAAAATACCAGATCGCATATGCTTTTCTCTTTCGAAAAAATCTTTTGCAAAGAGTGCAAATACAGATTTTTTTCCCCGTTATCTCTTTGATGCAATGGACTGAATAATTGTTTTGATTTATAAAATGACAGAAAAACATTTCAAAGCATCCAAATCTATAAGTTTTGATTATGTATGACAGAGAAAAGCTGCAATTTTTTTGCATTTTTGCTTAATAAATGACAAAATTTGACAGTCAAAGGTCGTCTGAATACACCTCCCAGACTGATGGTGGGAGAAAACAGGCTCGTTTTTAAAACCACAATAGCTGATATGGATTTTTTTGTACTCGTACGGTTGCATTGTGCCGCTGTAGCACTGATTGTCATATCAATAACAGACTTGCTGCGTCTGTGCGTTTGGCCAACCAGCTTTCAGCTCTGCTATAATCAACACGTGCTTTATCCAAACCTCTGCTTCCTGCTGACAAACCAGTACTGTCGGGTCGAAACGTGTCCACCTGTCGTGTCTGTGCGTGTCCTGTGTGTGTTGGGGAGAGTGATTGTGTAAATATATATATATAGATGTCCTTTATGGTCACAGGGTTTTGTGTGTATGTGTGCGCATGTGAAGTGAAAGACCAAATCCCTGATACAAGGAAAGCCAACAAATACACGGGAGGAGGGTTTAAAAAATAAAAGAGAAACCTGTGGAGGGGAGCAGAGGTGAGGTGTGTTCAAGAGGACAATCATTCTGAGATGTTTTGCAGCGTTAAACCACTTAAACGAACAGTTTGTGCTCCGAGGACTGAATCCTAAATGTTTCCTTGATGCCTCACCTCGCCTCCTTCTCTTCCTCCTCGTCCTTTCATCCACATCCGTCCTTTGAATCCACCTACATCCCTGCAGTTGTTGTGTCTGTATCGCTAGTTTTTGAGCCTTTAGCCTCGCTGTGTGCGTGTTTGTGTGTTAGATGTACTGTACCCCGACTTCCCCCGTATTTCTCTGGTAGATCTACTGTCCCTGCTTCGTCCTTCTCTGGTCCCTGCTGGTTCCACTCTGCCTCCTCCGTCTCCATTTGCTTGCCGTTAAAGCTAAATTTACCTGCACTGCGTTAAAAAAAAAAAAAAAACTGCTGCTGCTCACCCTGCTTTCAGTAACTTGTCCTCCGCTGCTTCACCACATCTGGATTCAGTTGCATCAGCTCTTCTTGAACCGTTCGTTAAGTTTGCAAAGGGATGTCTTGGCTAGTTTAGTGATGTGCGCTTGCTGGGAAACATTTGGAGCTGAAAGCAATATATGAACACATCAGAATCTTAAAGGGGTTGATCAAAAAGTTTAGAGACTGAGCCTTTAAAAATTAAAAACTGGTACAAATTTGGTTGCCATCTCCGTTGAAGTAGCCTCCTCGTGCAGCGATGCTCTGCTCCCAGTGCTCCTGCAACACTTCCTGGAAGTCTAGTTACATAAACATGTGAAGCACCATCTGCAATTCACTCTGAATCTCCTAAATTGTGCCAAAATGCCGACCTTTTAGCTTGAATTTCAAGAGACAAATCTAAAGGGCGTCCATAGTCACGGAGCACTCGCGTGCCATCGTGTTGTGGTTCAGGTTGTTTGAATGTTCTACATTAGACACCTCAGGATGTTGCAGGTCTCTGTACTTACAGTCCGACTCTGGGCGATTAATTCATGGTGCACAACCGCTTAAGTGTTTTTGGTGCTCTTCCGGCCTGTCGCGCCACTTCTCTGTTTGGAAACTGCAGCTCTTTGACTGTAAAAACCGTTGTTTCTTCTCTGGATTGTAGCTGCAGACTCTCCATCGGTGACAATTCCAATCCTCCACATGAGGTTAGATTGTCCAGCCACAGAATGTGATTAGTTTTTGTCTCCTCAGGTCTGGTTTAGGGTCCATTGGAAAATCACAAATTCACACCTACCAGACCACTATTTCTCACACATGTTGCATGCTCACCACAAAAAGTCTCAGAACTTTTTGATCAACCGCCTTGATTTGAAAAAAAAAAAAAAACATTTTCAAGTGGCCAAATTATATATTAAACGTAACCAGGGAAGTATGTTTGGTCACCGTCAACCAAATGTGATCAAACTAAATCTCGATGGAGTAAATCTGTTGGTCAAATCTAAATACATAAAATCTAAGGACAGATTTGAAGCCAAGTTTTGACATTAAATTTTCCAACATTCTTTTTTCTAGAACACAACTTCTTAAATCCGTTCCAGGGAAAACGTGAGTACAGTTGATGCTAGTTTGGCTCCATTAGGTTTCCCAGTAATCCCAAAGTGGAATGCAGCCTTTATTAATGCACCTGTGCTTTTCCTGCTGTGGCACGTCAAACAAAAAAACTGTCTGCCGTGGGAAAGGAAAAGGAAATCTTGCATTCAGTGGGAATGCAGTTGCAGCAGGTCTTGTAACCCTCTTCCGATAAATCAGTCAGATTTACTGTAAGTGAGAATACTAAATAGAATTTTAGGGCGTGCAGCTGAATCGTGTGGTTAATGCTCTAAATTGAAGCAATACACAGAAACCTTTACAGCTTCTAAACCACAAAGTGAACTGAAAACAGCTGCCAGGTCTGAAAAAAGCTCATGATTGTGTGTTTTTAAGAATAACTGGAGATCAGATGCACCTCTCTGTCTGTAATTTAGCGGGTTAAACATGACCCGGCCTTCTCATGTGGCTTTGCTCATCCACGCTTTCACACCTTCTCTGTACCTGTTGCGATAGGCCCCGTCCCTTCCCTCTTCCCCCTCTGTTTTGGTTACAAAATGGCCGCCGCTAAAACCCCCCCGCACCGACCCGCGGTCCTCTCTTCTCCCCTCCCGATCGACATTTTCCATCATCTCCGCCATCCTGTTTCTTCTGTTCTCGGTGGCCAAAACAAAAACACAAAACAAAAACGAGGAAATGTAATAATCATTGTTTGGTAACTGTTTTTAGTGCTATGTTTTTGGAGCGTTACGAGTATTTTCTAACATGTTACAATAAAAGATTGTAGTGTACAAATTCACATTTATAAAATATATATATATAGATATATATGAGAAATGTATGTTCTAATGCAATAAAGAGAGATTAAGAATTATGAAAAGTGCATCGATCTATTATTTGTCGCTAAAGGTGCTGTCGTGTCTTTTTGTGAACGTGTATTTGGCATCACAAGGAAGCAGTAAACAACAATGAATCCATAAATCCAAGGAAGCATTTATAATGTTATGATGTGTGTGTTTTTTCTTGGTTTGTGTTAGTGTGTTTTTTGTTGTTGTTGTTGCTGTTAAGTTTGCTTCCTTTGTAGGCCGGAGATCTGCTAGTTTCTCTAGTTCATGTGTAACTTGTGCATTTTATCTGGGTTTTGCAGTAACACTTTAATTACACATTTGTTTTTTGTGCACATCTTGTACCACCCTTAGGCTCTGAAAGTATATCTGCATTCTTTCTAACGGCCAGCAGGGGGCGACTCCTCTGTCCACTTGTACAGAAGTCTGTGAGAAAATGAACCTACTTGTCACTTGATTTGTTACTCCAGTAAGCATTCTCCCAATGAGTTTATGGTTTCAATCGCTAGTTTCAGGTCTCCTACAATATAAAACAATAAACATTTTGTTAATTATGATACCATTCAGAGGAAAGTAGACGATAAAGCACATTGTGTTTGAGGGCGGGGCTACTTTGTGATTGACAGGTCGCTACTATATCAGTGTGCATGGAGTTTTCAGTCAGTCCATCCTTTACTTACAGTCTGTTATGGCTGTGGTCCGTCTTCTACACCTAAAATAACCAGTGAAAATAAACTATGTACCCTGGAACACTCAACATTCTCAGTCTGTGCTCCATCTGTTGAAGCCTTACCAAGCTGACCAGGAGGCTCTGAACCAGAATAGTTTTGGTGGTCACTGCTGGTGAAGACTTGAGGTATCCAAGTTCAGTCTTATTGCTCAGTTATAAAATATGCTTGTGTGTGTGCGGGTGAAAAGTCAACCTCTTGCCAGCTGGGACAGACTCCTGGGCGACTTCTATACAGGCAACAAATTTCCACTAAATCTGACCTTATTTATCCTCTGAAAGATTTTCCTACAAGGATGTCGAGACTTTGAGCAGAACAAAGTGAGTTAAGCCCCTCATGATTTCTAAATTATAGGAAATGTATGTGTTTATTTGACAGTTGACATTAAGTTGATTTCATACGCTGTAAGCAGTAACTTAGAGCTGTCGTTCCACCACAAAGCAGCGAATCCATCCGTTGGGCATCTCCATGTTCCGGATGACTTCCCACTTGTTGGTTTTGCTGTCGTATCGCTCCACGGATCCACAGATTTCGGAATCGTCACAGCCTCCGACCACGTACAGGTGGTCCTCCAACACGGCGATGCCGAAGTATTGGCGGCAGCGAAGCATTGGAGCCGAACTGCGCCAGCGTTCTAATAATGGATCGTAGGCGGTGACGCTGCAAACGCAACTGACGGTGTTGTGGCCACCAGCCTGGACGACAGTAAAAACAGTAATGACACAGTGCGACAGTACCCCATCAACACTAAACATACTGCATTAAAAATTTGATGCATTTGGAAAGTTTTTAACGAAGATTAGGCACATTTTATGTTTTAATTCAACTGTTAATTTACAGTTTATGTAAATTATATGGTCAAAATTACATTTCAAAGGTTTTGGCCTACACATAGTCTAACACTGGAATATTGTCCGTTAAATATATCACTAGACTCATCTTGGAAAGTTTGTGGTTAAATAAAGAACCAATTCAGGAAACATGTTGCTGCACTGTCTCAGATTTTGTTAAATGGGGCTAAAACCAAAGTTCTATAAAACACTTCGACTGAATTTTGAGAATTTAATGTTTTTTGGGGGGCTTTTTTTACATTCATAGGATCCAGCAGTTTACAATGATCAAATGGCTCAAGCAGAGGCCAAGTTTTTAATTATTAACTCTTCAAATTTTTAAACAAGGCTGGTATCGGGGCCCTCGGAGGTTCCTGTAAATGTATGAGGATGTGTTCTTAGTTCCTCCAAGAAATATAGTCTTACAGATGTTTTTTGAGGGTGTCTCAATTAAGTTTTTTGTCCTCAATACAATCTAAGTCATTTAATATTTAGTATCTGCTAAGCTAATACCATTTTCCTTGATAGTACTCATGGCAGCAGAGCAGATCAGCTGTAGTACCTGGCTGTTCCACCAGGTGGAGCCTCTTACTATTTAATACTGTAGCAACTAGAGGAGGCATCACTCAGACTACGGACCGTTTTATGCTGGCAAGCAGAAAGCATTTTGGGAGTTTAGCAAGCAACAGGCACCATGACAAAGACTTGTGTGGAGATTAATGACTTCCAACCAGAACGCCGGCATTAGAGACAAACTGGGATCAACAAGGAGAGAATTCCTACATATCAGTGTCCAGATCATGTGGCTGATACTTTATTATTAAAATTATTCAAATTTCCGACATGTATGTGACAACAGATGTAAACAAAGGATTGGGGTGAAGTTAATGTAGAGACTGATTGGTTAACACAAAAAATCTCGGTCTGAAAACATGAAATTATCAAAATTCTGCAAGAATGTTTTGCAGAACTTTGTTTTTTTTTTATTATACTATTATTTGGGACCAAGTTTTTAACTCTGGTGCATTGACATGTACGGCATGTACCTGGTGTTTGCTTTTCATCAATCTGTGTCAGTGAATTCTCTGCTTACCACATAGATCTGGTTATTGTAGGCGATGACTCCTGCTGCGTATCGCCTGGTTTCCATTGGCTCGATCGCCGTCCACTGGTTGGTTTCAGGGTTGTAGCATTCAGCGGTTTGCAGAGGTCCAGCTCCAGGTCCAGGTCCACCTAAACCGCCACAAATGTACACCTGGAAAAAATGAAGGTAACAACATTATAGTTATAGCCCCATCCTTAAGATGGACAGTGGTATTTCAGTTTGATGCATCTTCCAACACTGAGACTACTTCTGTGATAACAAAGAAAGAACATTCTCCAATGTTTTCGAGATGTTATTGAGGCCTCAGATGATTTTTATAAAGCGTTCCTGTACCAGGATGTATGAATAAAAGGCCAGCTTTCTGGCTGCAGTGAAGGATGTTCCCAATGCAATGTTCAGAAAACATTTTCAAGATGTTATCTTAGAGGTTCTTTAGTAGACGTTCCAGTACTGCGATATGTCAATAAGGTGGAACATTCTGCTGGCAATGTTCTGAGGATGTTTCGGGGATGTTGTTGAGGAAACACATAGAACCTGTAAAAAGTTCCCACCGTGTTACATGATCACAGAACATTCTCACTGTAACACGTTTTTGAGAACGTTGGGATGTAACAGTCTGACAATATTATCACCAAATATTTTTAGAACGTTTGGTTGTTCTGCTTTCAAGAATATTCTGAGAACTAAGTATTCCTGTTACCCGATATGTTGACGAAGTTGGTTGCAATGTTCTGATGATGTTTTGTGGATGTTTTTGAGGTAACACATTTTAGATTAAATGTTCCCACAATGTTACATGATAACAAAAGAAGAACATTCTGGGTTTAACATTAGACTGTAACAATGTAACAATGTTCTCGTCAAACATTTTTAGAACGTGTTTAGTTATCTGACCTTCAAGAAGAACATTCTGGAAACTGAAGGAAAGCTTCCCACTGAAAACATGAGTAGAACTTTGCAGAACTTTCTCAGAAGCTAAGAAACCATTTTGGCACAACAAAGATCCAGCTGCTGTCAAAGGTTCTTCTGCTGTTCTCTCCAGAACTTACCTGTCCATGTAGTACAGCAGCACCGGCTGAGCTCCGGCATTCCTGCATCGGTGCGATCAGAGTCCACTGGTTGGTGCTGGGTTCGTAGCGTTCTGCAGAGTTCAGATTGCTGGTTCTGTCTCTGCCTCCCAGAGCGTAAATGCAGCCATTGAGTTCGACCACGGTGACGTCGCATCGAATCAGGTGCATCGGGCCGACCTCCGTCCAGGTTCTGGTGGCGAGGTGGAACCTTAGCACGCTGCTCAAAAGGTTCCCACCGTCGTCGCCTCCGATGCAGTAAACGAACCCATTGAGGTAAACGCAGCCACAGAACAGTCGAAAACGTTCGTCTTCTTTGTCCAGTCGAACCCAGCGGTCGGCTCGGACGTCGTAGTGCTCCATCTTGTCGGTTGGGAAGGTGTTCCTCCAGCCGCCAAAAGCGAACAGAACACGAGAGGGCAGGCGGGTTCTGGTCAGTGGTCTCTCCACGTCGGGTCCACAAAGGGTCCTCAAGGCGCTTTTTACCATGGCTATGCATGGCGGGCAGTTCTTCACCAAAGGATTTCTGCTCACCGTGTGAGCCAAGTAGTCAAGAGGCATCAAGAGCAGGCGGACCTGGACCAAGACAACAAGGAGGAAACAAAGGAGGGTTCAGCTGATTTGGAGATCTGAAGTGTCGACACAAAAAAACGTATATATAATGTGTGTGCATATAAATGACGGCCATTACCAAGAAAAAGCAGAACCTTGTGTTTAAACCAACATTAACTGAAATAACTGGTCAGTTTGAATATCTGGCCAGAAAAATAACATAATCCAGAAACGGTTGCAGTCGGTGATATTTTTTGTTCTTTCATGACCAATTTTGGAAATTTGCTGTTTATACAGTCTTAAACTTTTTGTAGCAGCACCTTATAGCTGCTTAAATACTCACACTCTGACACCCAGAACACACCACTGGGCTTTAAAGACAAAAACAATTTAAAAAAAAAAACAAAACCACCAAAATTACACAATTAAATGTAGCAGAGCTAGAAAGGGCAAAAGCAGACAAAACTGGAGCATTTTCATCTCTGCCTCTACTGTCCAGAAACTGCTGTTCTACTTTATTTTACTGATTAATTACCTAAGTTGGTGGCTTACAAACGATCAGATGCTCCCTAAAGCTATTTAGTGAAGATTTTTAGTTAGAAAACAGAAAAGTAGAACATTATATGCTGTATATATGTTAAAATATGAACGTCTGATTTCAGCAAAAGTGGCACAAAGTGATTAGATTTAAGTCTTTGTCAGTTTTTGTGCACAGCAATAACTGAGTCTTCTCTGCGAAATAGATCATAAGATAAAGTGTAAAAATGCAATAATTTATGCCGACAGCAAGTAAAAATGTTGCAGGAGCAAATAAAACACCCAGAGGCTGCTTTAGGTTCACATGCTTAGTAAACTGAGTAAATGCAGCTGTGGTCACCTTGCTGAGCAGCGTGGCGATGTGAACGCTGCGTTCCTGCGGAGCGAAGCTGATCCAGTGGAGAACGGCCTCAAACACAACCTTCTCCTGCTTCACGTTGAGCTCGTCGTTCTCTATGAGATCCGCCAGCTGCTGCACAGACAGCAGCAGGAAGTCTGCACAGACTTCTGCGATGGCCTCGAAGTGATGCAGGATGCAGTGGTAGGCCTTCTGCCGCAGCGCCACACAGCCGTAGACGTCGGCGAACTGCCAGATGTGGATGCAGTTTGAGAAACGAAGGTTCTGCTGCAGCAGGTCACAGCAGGCCTGAATCAAGCCTTTGATGGCGAAACGTTTTGCGGCAGCCAGCAGCTCCAACGCATTCTCCTCAGTAATCGCAGCAGCTTGGCTGTAGGCGAACTCCAGAACCAGGCTCATCACATGTGGTGAGACGTCAGGGAAGCTGTAGACCTGCTCTGATGCCGACTCTGTGCTGCAGAACAGATCCCTGTGGGGTCAACGTTCAGAAAAACTGTGTTAGTCACTGCAAACAGCATGTCGACATCTTTCTGCTGCAAGAACTAAACATCCTGCAGGATCTAAAGGATCAAAGTAGACGCTTCAGATGTTGCTGTATCTTTACAGCAACTTCTTTACCACATTATTGAGTGCTTACAAACAGCCTGGTCCGACAGTCGGGTGTTTTATGCTTGTAGCAGCTAAAGTATCATCAACCAGAGATGAGGAGAAGGCTACAGACTTTTTTTTAAAATATATTTTTTTGGCCTTTGCCTTTATTAAGTGCAGTAGAGGGAGACAGGAAAGGGGGGAGAAGAATGGGGACAGACCCGCAGCAAAGGGTCGTGAGCGGGACTCGAACTCACGACCGCTGCATCGGGGAACTACAGCCCCTGTTCATGGGCCGCCCGCTCTACCAGGTGAGCTATAGGGGGGCCCAAGAAGGCTACAGACTTACAGGAATCTCTTTTCTTTCCAACTTCACGCCCTCAGATTTTATATCACCTTCAATCTTGTAGCCTTCAGCCCCAACTGACTCAGACATAAAGTCTCTAAACATCCTGTGAGCAGTTTTTGAAAACCCTTTGACAGCTTGTGTTTATCATACCGTAGATGGAATCAGAGTGGCCCACTGTTCAGAGCAGCAGTCATGTTTCCATATTTTATTTTTGTGCATATTTTGAATTATTGCATGATAAACGATAATGATAATGATAATGGCAGAACGGGAGTAAAATTCTGTCAGAAGTTTGACACTACTCTGAGATGTTTTCTGACCTTTATAAATCACCTTTTCTGAAAAACTTTCTGACTGGGGATTTTATAGAACGCTGTGAAGTTTGTCTTAAGTGATTTGAATTTCTTACCAGTACATGAGTTCTGGTGGGAGGTCATTAACCTCCTCAGAAGTCTCTGTCATGGTCCTGTTGCTAGCTAAACTCCCACAATGCTCTCTGCTGCCAACATGAACTGTGGTCTGAGTGACGCCTCCTCTGGTCTCTACAGTAACAGTAAGAGATAGACATTTAGATTGCGCATGCTGGTCCGAGGCTGCGGTCTGTTGCCGGCTTTTGTTTGTAGGGTCCAGCCAGAGGAGGAAGTCACAGTCCAATAAGTTGGGTTTTGGCTCAAAATTGACTTTCCTGATGTTCAAAAGTTTCTCGCGACTTTACCGAATCGTTGCACGAGCGGAATAAAAACTAAACAGAAAGTTTATCAAAAGTAATAACAAATAAACACGCTGAAGACGGGGGAGCGGCGCGAACACGTCTGCCATGGGGGGGCGACATTTTGTTTCAGAGGCTCCACCTGGTGGAACAACCAGGTACTACAGCTGATTTACTGACATGTAGAGAATACAGGTGTACTGGTGGAACCTCAGTACATCCTACCCTCGAATTCTACATTAGAGCAGAGCTTTACAGCAGGGTTCACAAACACCTACAGAACATTAAAGAACAGACTGGAGGCAGATTTTGTTTTTCCTAAAGCATTGCAGAGCTAATCAGTTCTCAAGCGTACACACTGAACTGATTTTAACAAGTTTAATGTACTAGAAATGTGTATTATCAAGGAAAGTGGTATGAGATTGAGTTCTCAGCAGTAAATTTTAAAGCAAGTCCTAAAGGGTAAACTGTGGAGTGACATTTACGTGCAATCACCAAAATGCATTGCATTGTACATCCGAACAGCCTCGCAAGCCGTTGCAGAGTTGATTTTGATGTAAGAAAAAACTCTTTTTAAACTTCCTAAAACACCAAAGCTACCTGAAGTATGAGCTGCAGCCACAGAGGACGATCCGGTGAACTTCAAACTCCACATTGCCGACTTGGATCACGGCGTCGCAAAGCTCTTGGTCCCGACGGAGCTCAGAAAGGACGTTTTTCCAGGCGGTGTTCATTGTTAACATGTTGCTCAGAGGGTTTGAACTGTGAGTTAATGTCAGTTAATGTAAGTTGGTTTCAGTTGCCTGGCAAGCTTCACAGGAATGTTTTCATTTAAAAATCATTTTAAAAGTCATATCAGCAAACACCAGTTTGAGGTGCTAATCTTCTTAGCATGCTAAACACAAATGTACTTGAACTGTCCAACACGTCAAAGGCCATCAGAAGTAAATACAACCTCCCTGCACTGTTGCACGAATATTGTTAGAACGTCTTGTTTTCAGTTGCTTCTTCAGAGCTCTGTGTTTTAATGTACGTGTAACTCCTCTTTACAGGTAAAAGGACATAAAGGCCATGAAATCAGGTTGCAAAGCTCCAAAAACACGTATGAATCTGGGTAGCAGTTGAAAAAGGTTGCATAGAGGTCCTTAAACACTAAAAATGTCTACGTAAATACCATAAACCTGTTATATATTATTATTATTGTCTACATTCACTGAGCAAATACTTTAACCAACATCATTTCTGATCATAACTACTTAATATCCATTCACCTTTAAACCTTAAAAAGCCGGTTTGTTTAAATAATGCTTATATATATATTCCATATAATAGGTGGTAAGTGGAAACTTTTTTTGAACTGTAAAAATTACAGTTTTGAAGCCAAACTCCACAATGAAATTCTAATCATATGAAATTCCTCCTGTCATATCAGTGGGATCAAAAACACAAGTTCTAACAGATTTCAGTGAGGACATGTTTGTCTTTAAGGTCTTATTAACCAGCCAACTAGCCAACATGATGAAAAAAATCTAAAATAAAAAGTCACATGACAGTTAAACTGGTACAGTATAAAGCCACTTATCAGGTGCTTATGATGCAGTCTTTAGATACCTCCCTGCACAGTTTCATAAACATTAAAATATGAACAAAACCAGGCTGTAAAATAGTGATCAGATGTACTGTGGTGTGTTTAGTGTTTAGTCTGCATAATGCTCAGTGTGTGTGAAATGAATACTTGTCCAAATTTAAAAAATACAAATAAATAAAAACATTTAAAAATGCATGAGTAGAATTTAATAACATATGGCACGCTGCCTTTAAAATACAGTATTTTAATAAACACTAGCGGCAGTAGAAGTTTATCGCATAGCTTAATCGCGAAATGTCCGCTGCGGGCTTCCGTTGAGCCGCTGCTGTTTTGTTGATGTTCTCCATCACCTGACCGACCACAAGTTCAGCCTCCGAGTTCAGCTTTAACACACAAACCCGCCGTCAGAATGACTTTAACCCGCCGAGGCTGCAGCTCAGCGTCAATAAGCTGCAGACAGTTCTCTTATTTCTAGGCTTCGGTCCGTCCGGAGACGCGCAGAGGTCAGCGAGCGCTACGTTTGTTAGCTAGTTAGCTCCAGCTAGCATCCCGAGCTACGGCTACGAGCTAACAGGCTAACTGTGCCCATGGAGGGGATTCTGTATAAATGGACGAACTACATGACAGGTGAGCTTTCCGTCAGTCCGTCTAACAGCTGCTGGAGGCTGTTGTTTAGTTTGTTTGTTGTTGTTGTTGTTTTTAACCAACCGATGGTTTCATGTTGAATTCTGGCAGCTAATGATAAATATGTGACAAGTGAAACTCTGCTGGAGTGAAATTAGCCGTTAGCAGTCTAGCTAACGAGCTAATGTTGTAAAGATGCGACATATTTCTGTTTCTGCCGCTTTTAATAATCAATAAATGTGTGAATGTTAGATTTATTTAGTCAGAAACTGTCCTCATGATCAGATCTGACTGCCAGCATTCATATCTCTATCTTTTCAGCATCAAACAGGTGCAGTGTTCTTTATTTTCTATTTATTTTAACACACCTGTAACCAGGACTGGACCGTTAATCAATTTCAGATTAAAACAGGACATATGAGACCATTCATTAATTAGACAACTGCTGGAGGTGAATTTGATGTATTTTAAACCGAACAGAATTAAATTTTCAGGGTTTTTTTTTTTGGTTTTTGTTTGTTTGTTTGGTTTGTTTTTTTTAAATAGGGATCAACCAATGTGATTTTTTTTCCAGGTCTAATACTGATAATCAGTAATAGAGAAGACCGACACCAGATATTTGAGACCTGATATACGTTTGCATAAAAATACAATTTAGAAAAATTCAAACTCCAACGCAGACGTGCTTCAGTTTATTTATGGTTTACATATATTTACATCACGGCGTGTTTGCAGACAGAGAAAAGCTGCAATTTTGTGCATTTTGAAGCTATTCATTGATCTGAAATTTGCTTAGGAAAAAACAATGACGCAGACAACCATGAAAATGCAGGACACTGGATCCAATAAAAGGTCTATAAGCTGGTGATGCCTGTTTGCTGATTAATCAGTTTATCCTCAGTGGTTCATTCATACAAGTTTGTCTCTAGTCACTGATTAAATCCCTAAAAACTCAACTCTGTGTGTCAAAATTACATATTTAGGCATTTAGGCATAATCCCCTTCTGCCCCACAATGTCTTTAAAGCTGTTGTTTCTCTTGAATATGCAGCTCGAGCACAACAGCTCGCCTACAACTCTGCTTAAACACTAAAACTACACAATGACAAGTTGTGGTACTGCAGTAGCTGGTTCACAGCGACAGGATTAGCACTCCATATTTCCTACGTGTTAAAACCCTGGAGGTCTACAGCTGTGTTGTTGAGACTCTGATCAGTACGCTGCAGTTTGTTTCGCTCATGATGTGTCTTCCAGCAGATAAAAGCCCCCGTATGCATGTTAACAAGGTCAGGAAGGAGCCACACCTCGTACATGTTGTAGGATTTAAACTGTTGTCGGTGGTTTTATAGATTCATTCTTTAGTGATAGTCACACTTATGATGCTGTTTCAAATGCTCCATCAGATGTTCTGTATTTATTACAGCTTGACTTGAATCAGATTGCAGTATCTGTCAGAAAAATCCCAACAGCGACTGTTTGACGTGTTGTTCAGCTTCATATTTAACCCTGAACAGCTGATACTGCAACAGGATTAACAGAAGTATTCAAATGCTGGTAAAAGTACCAACACTGTGTTTTAATAATACTTGAGCACAGCCTTTAAAACATTCAAGTCAAGTCCTGGTTTGTTGTGTTGCACATTAAGACAACAGCTTGTTGCGTCAAAAGTACTTTAAGTAAGTTTTGTGTTATTTATGTTGGGATTTATTTGAGTAATTTACCCACTGACCCTCTAAAAATAAACAGGAAATCCCTACAAATTAAAAGATCAATATTTTTTATTTTATATGATTTTTTTTTTTAGTATTTTGCACATTTTAAAATCAAATTCAAGCAAAATTGCCAAAGCATTAATGATAAAATGTGCTTCTATTGATAGATAGGCACGAGACAAGCAAGAAAAAACACTCTAAATATATATACATGTGCATAAAAACTTCTGGATGACATAAAAACAAAAGAAGTAAAAGATTTGGAATAAGATTTGGCAGAACTGTAAAATAAAGGCGAAGTTCCTTCAACGAGAACGTGTCATGAGTGGAAGAACTCCGCGGACGTGTTATTATGAACAACATTATGACTGTTTATGCTGGTGCTCGGTGCATAAACAGTGTTTACTGTGGTGGCTGGCAGACGTGAAGCTACTTTTAACTGATTTATGGAAACCAGGCTCAGCCGTGAGAATTGAAAACACTGTTTGACCTTTTGCTGCTTTTGTGGTTATTTTCTAAGGACTGAAAGCATTTCTTTATTCAGAAATGACCCTGATAAATGCCGTGTGGTGGATATATTACAGTAATTTTCTCTCAAGTCTAATCAAGGACAATTATGAAGAAGCAAAAAAAATGGAAAAACCCAAAGTAAAGTCCCCTTAAAGTCCAGTAATTGAATAAATGTGCTGTTGTTTTCCAGCGCTGGCTTGGACTGACAGCAACACGCAGCTATGAGGCTTTATTATCTACTAATAGAAATGAAAACTAAGCCACAGTTACAGGGATTAAAGGCGGCATTCGACTTGAACGACGGCAGCAGAGTGTCTATAAATAATGATGTTAGAGGAGAAAATAAACTCGGCGTATAGACTGAAGGGCTCCACCGAGGCCTGCTTCTGTCGGCTGTGACGGACGCGATTGTCACGTGAACAGCTCATCAGGTTTTATTGCGCTTAAGCAAACAGGTCAGTAATTGCATTTCTCTACTTTATCGTATGTTCTCTTGATAGAAGAGCTCAGTTACAGCCGTGCACAGACGTGGAGGCAAGCCAGAGACATTTTAAGGCATTTTTTTAAGCTCAAATCTGAAACATCTGCTTCTTCCAGACTCTCAGGTCTGAATATGTGCTCATTTTCTTTGGATTTTTAACAATTGGTGTGAG